ATACAAACAGAAAGAAAACAAAAATCTGACTGTATTTCAAATGAATAACATAACAAGACTGTATGAAACCAAATAACTAAATTTAATATCTGACTAAATACCCTTAGCCTGAAAACAAGAATAACTATAAACAAATCCTGAACTCTTTTAGGTTTGTATTTCACCAGGGTATAGGCAAAGCGATTCTGGAACTCTGAGTGTATTATAGAATTAAGCAAATGAGCAGATATGTTGATATTGTGAGAGCCAGGAGAAGGGAAACACAAATATAGAAGCAAGAAAGGCAAAAAATAACAGAGTGGATCTGAATAGAAATTGGAAGTACCACTGTAATTTTTTAAATATATTATACTAGAGCCTGGTGCACAAATTCGTGCACAGGTGGGGTCCAGCGGCCAGCCCCAATCTGGGCTGATTGGGCCAGGCCGGCCAGGTGGAGGGGCCATGGGCAGTTGGCTGGCCAGCCCTGCCCCCTGGTCAAACTCCCGGTTGAACTCCCAGTCAAGGGACAATTTGCATATTAGACTTTTATTATATAGGATACTTTTAAACATACATACTTTTTATACATATGTAGATATATTGTGTGTATCAGTGTGTGTGTATATATATATATATATATGTATGTGATATATACACATATATCTTTGTTCTGTTGCTAAAGGACCTAGAAACAATTACACACCAGTAGCAATAAACACAGCCAGCACCAACTCTTGGTTTTTAAATGGCATTACCTTTTAAAATGAATCAGGGCTACTTAGAGAAATGGCTGATTCAGGGGGAAAGACAGAATAAAATGAGCTTGGAGCCCTGGCCAGTGTGGTTCGATTCCTGGTCAGGGTACATTACCTAGATTGCAGGTTCAGTCCCCAGTGGGACTGGCTATGGGAGGCCACTGATCCATGTTTCTCTTATACATCGATGTTTCTCTTTCTCTCTCTTTCTCTCTCCCTTTCCCTTTCTCTAAAATCAGTAAAAACATATCCTCCAGTGAGAAAAAGAAAAGAAAGAAAAGAAAAAAAAAGAAGAGAAAAGAAGCAAGCCAGCCTGGAACATCTTTTGGGCTAGGAAGTGCCCCCCAAAAAGATGGAGACATGTCAAAAGGAACTGCCACCTGCTGACTCTGGAACAATTTGAGCATTAATATGAATGATCAAATGGATAATACATAGTCCACTGAATAAAAGAAGAATCTACAAGTCAACACGGATAATAGACAAACAACTATATAAATAAAAGGAGATAAAGGGAGAATTCATCCTTATAACAGATGCCACCTAATAATAAATGAAGGAATGATGGCATTAGAAAAAATGACCATGATAGCATCATCACAGTGAGAAATGACTAAGGAAAAAATCCTCAATGGGATGGTAAATCCCATGGATAAAAGTCTGAAGAGGAATGAAATACTTCAGAGTTGCAAAGTATCCCTCATTAGTTACTTTTACATTACACAGGGAAATACTGTAAACTACAGTGAAGAAATCTGACAGCCATTACCTTAACTAGGAATTAAAGTTCCCACCACCAAAAATGGGACAAACTGATATCACGGGCCTCCTTAACATGACACCATGAGAACACAGTCATTTATGTAGTACTCCTGCCAAAGTCACGTAATGCATCTAATCTAATCATGAGGAAATAATCAATAATCCCAAATTGAGCAAGTGGCCAAACTCCTGAAATATATCATGAAAGACGAAAGGTGAACTACTCCAGACTAGCAGACACCAACAAGCTGGGACACCTAGATGTAGTGTGGGGGCTGGATCCTGGATCAAGATTGGGAATAAAACGCTCATAAAAGACATATTTTTTACTAAGTATGATTCCATTTACATGAAGTTCAAGAATAGACAAGACTAATCTATGGAAAGTCCAGAACAGTGGTTGCCTGTGGGATCATAAAAGACATTATTGAATCAATTACTGAAATCTGACTATAAAGTATATATTAGAAAATACTTTTTCCTGATTTTGATCATTGTGGTTATAGTATGGTCTTGGTCTGAAGTATCTAGGAAGACTGATGACACATGATATCATCAAACTACTCTCATTGGGTTAGTAAAAAAATAAGGTGTGTGTGTGTCTGTATATATCCTATCCTATATAATAAAACCCTAATATGCAAATCAACCGAACAGTAGAACGACTGGTCGCTATGACGTGCACTGACCACCAGGAGGCAGACGCTCAATGTAGGAGCTGCCTCCTGGTGGTCAGTGCGCTCCCACAGGGGAGCACTACTCAGCCAGAAGCCTCACAGCTGAAACTCTCCCACCTCCACTGCAGGTGGGCAGTAAGGAGCAAGAGGTCCCAGACTGTAAGAGCCCCAGATAGCGAGAGGGATGTCTGACTGCACCCTGAGGGATCGGGCCTAAGCCGGCAGGTGGACATCCCCTGAGGGGTCCCAGACTGCAAGAAGGCACAGGATGGGCTGAGAGAACCCCCCTCCTCCCCAGTGCACAAATGTTGTGCACCGGGCCTCTAACATATATATGTATATGTATACACACACACACACACACACACACACACACACACATACAGAGTGGCCAGATTATGAACACCTGACGTTTGTAGGCAAATTAGCTATAATATCGCACTGAAGTTGCTAGAGGGCCAGACCATTATAAACAGGGAAGCAGGTTGTTTACCATGACAGTAGAAGTAATTTTTTTCTGAAGATATGGGTAAACAACGCGATTTAACAGCCTTTGAACGTGGGAGATATATATATACATATAAATATAAATATATATGTATATATACATATATACACACACTCACACACACACACACACACATATACATATATATGTGTACACACACACACACACACACACACATACATACACTGAGTGGCCAGATTATTATGACCACCTGACGTTGTAGTCAAATTAGCCGTACACTGCAGCATATGGAATATGGAAGCCAAAGGCCTGTTTGAACACCTTTGCTGTCTGCAGTTACCAAGATAAAACGTCTCCAATTCGCACAGGAACACAAGGATTGGACAGTTGAGCATTGGAAAAAAGTCATGTGGTCCGATGAATCATGTTTCCAGTTGCATCATGCAGATGGCAGAGTGAGAATTTGGTGGAAACAGCATGAAGGCATGCACCCCACATGTATGAGTACAACCCTTCAAGCTGGTGGGGGCAGTGTTATAGTTTGGGGCATGTTTTCCTGGCATGATTTGGGCCCTTTAATTCGTGTGGAACAACGTCTGAATAGCACAACATACCTAAGTATCGTTGCTGGTCAAGTTCATCCTATCATGTTGATGGCATATCCCAATGGAGATGGCTTCTTCCAACAAGACAATGCGCCATGCCACGGTGCTCGTATTGTGCAGGAGTGGTTTCAAGAACGTGAGGGAGAGTTTACCTTGCTTAGGTGGCCCCACAATCACCAGATCTCAATCCAATTGAACATTTGTGGGACGAAGTTAAAAGAGCCATCAGGCAGCTGGTTCCACAATCATCACATCTCACAGAACTGGACAGTGCTATTCATCAGGCATGGTGTCAGATTCCTCACATCACCTTTCAACATCTCATAGAGTCAATGCCAAGAAGAATCGCCTCAGTATTGAAGGCAAAAGGTGGCCCAACAAAGTACTGATGGGGTGGTCATAATAATCTGGCCACTCAGTGTGTGTGTGTGTGTGTGTGTGTGTGTGTGTGTGTGTGTATCCACGTTCAAAGGCTGTTAAATCGCGTTGCTTACCCATATCTTCAGAAAAAAATCACTTCTACTATCGTGGTAAACAACCTGCTTCCCTATTTATAATGGTCTGGCCCTCTAGCAACTTCAGCGTGAAATTATAGCTAATTTGCCTACAAACGTCTGGTCATAATAATCTGGCCGCTCAGTGTGTGTGTGTGTGTGTGTGTGTGTGGAGAGAGAGAGAGAGAGAGAGAGAGAGAGAGAGAGAGAGAGAATGATAAAGAAATGTGGCAAAATTCCAACCACTGACAAGGCTGCATGAATGTTATACGGAAGTTCTTTGTTGTAGTCTCAGAAAATTGCAAATTATTTTTAAAAAACATTTTACAATAGTAATATTTATTAAACTGGTAATATTTATTAAAGTACCTAGCATATGGCAAATGGTTAGCAAAGGTTTTCTTTCATCCCTCTTCTGACCACCTCTGGCCTTTGAATATATAGAAATATATAATCTTTATTGTTGAAAGTATTACATATGTCCCCTATTTCCTCTCCATTGACCTCTTCTAGCGCCCTCCCGCCCCCTTTCCCTCACTCCCAGGCCTTCACAGCCCTATTGTCTATGTCCATGGATTATGCATATATGCATACAAGTTCTTTGGTTGATCTCTTCCTACCCATCCAATTGAATGTATTTTTTAACCAATAAAAGTTCAGCCCTAGCCAGTTTGGATCAGTGGATAGAGCATCGGCCTGTGGACTGAAAGGTCCGGGTTCGATTCCAGTCAAGGATACATGCCCAGGTTGCGGGCTCCATCTCCAGTAGGAGGTGTGCAGGAGGCAGCCAATCAATGATTCTCTCTCATCACTGATGTTTCTATCTCTCTCTCCCTCTCCCTTCTTCTCTGAAATCAATAAAAATACATTTTAAAAAAACAGTTTGGGGTTTTTCGGTTTATTTGTTGTTGCCAATATTTAAAACTCATGTGTTTTTTTACCAAAACAACAAAACACCCCAATTTCTGTCTTCTCTTATGGATGAGCCAACCACCATGTGGCAGGTGCTGAGGGGCAGCACCTCCCCGCTGGCTTCACTTGTGTGCCCCACCAGCCAGCCCAAGGCAGGGCCCCAGGTTGGAACAGTGGAACGGTCACCAGGAGAAAGAAGCAGTCAGTGTGGTCCTGTTGTCACCTCATCAGAGCACAGGGTGGAAGGTATGTGGGGCCAAGGAGTCAGTCCCTCCTGGGCCCTCCAAGAAGTCCCGGGTCGATTACTGATGTGCCTTAAGACTCGAGTGCCTTGCCCCACTTACCATTGAGAAACAGCTTTTCCAATTTCTCGAGCAGCTCGGCACATTGATTCAGCTGTTCCTGGAAGCCCTCAGCCACGTAGTAGTCCACATCGCTGGCCTGCAGCAGCTCCTCAAATGCCTTAATCATGGTCCTCATGTGTTGACGATAAATGACACAGATGTCATGGCTATCCTTGATCTGCTGCCGCTGAAGGGAGAGCTCCCTGGCTTGGGACTGAACTAATGAATTGTATCTGATAAAAGGGGGGAAAGAAAATGCGTGTGCCATTTTAGAATTGAATTTTTGTGACCTTAACACTAATTGGAAAAATGACAGAGCACAATTTTTAAAAGCCTGCAGCTGTACATGTATATATACTTTTAGAAAAATTGAAACTGTACAAGGTCACTCCTTCAATTTCAAAACAGCTAACAAATGCTGGAACAAAGGTTCTTCTGCAATATTTTTAACCTTATGAAGCCCCCAATTAAAGTAAGATTGGCAAGGACTCAAGAGAACAATCAGATCCATACACTCTTCAAAAATCCTATTTCGAATTGTAGAAACAAGTGCCCAAGGGACAGGGAACCCACCACAAGTTCCATAAAGAACAAAACAGAAACTATAGGCAGGAAAACAAAGACAGGACTCTCTCATCTCAACCAAAAGGTCAAGGAATAGTCAGGATCCTAACTATCATTCATGGAGGGTCTATGATGTGTTTGTTAGTCACTGTAGTAAGTGTTTTTAATAAGTTATCTGATCCTCCCAATCTTCCAACAAATGTATGAACCTCCCCTTTTACAGAAGAGGGAACTGACTCTCAGAGACACAAAGTTGGTTCAATGGTGAAGATTTCGGACTCAAACACAGCTCTGCCTTCAGAGCCCACGCCCTATTATGCCACTGTACTGGGCTTCCTAGTAAGACACAGGAATTGGGAGGCACTGAGGAAACCGTGGCTCACAGAAACTGTGGCCACAGTAACCTGGCTCCAGAGCAGCTGGCAGACACCGAGCCCTCAGGTCAACATGTTCCCCCTCCCTGGTGACCACCTGCCCCCAGTTTGCACATACAATCATGTGACTGCAGTACTGCAGGTGGGGGCCAGTTGAATGGATGAGAAAGAACACAAGTATTAGAATGGTCACTGTGGGCTGGGCAACCTCTATGAGGCTCAATTTCCTCATCTATGAAAACATATTTAATAACAACTCCTCCTCAGGTGATTTTGCGGGTTAAATAAGAAAAGTGCCCACTGGAAGGTCTGACACAATGGCCTTTCAATAAATACAAGCTTCCTTCAATCTCAATGTTTGGAAGTCTTGAAAAATTCACAAGTCAGAACTATGTGTTTGACTCAATTAGTGACGAATGAAGGTCAACTTTACAAATGATCCCATTTTTGCCAGATCTCATGAAGCAAAGCTGTATGTATCTAGGCTCATAAAACATATCTTCATGACCTAAGAATTCTTCTCTTTTAACACTGGCTTGTTTCTTTAAGATGAACTTAAATGGTAAAGATATGGAAAATATTTATATTCTTCCCACCTGCCTAGGACATCTTTCAGTTCTGCAACACAGTAAGTAAAAGCCAGTAATAGTGTCCAGAAGTGAACACTGCCATTCAGCAAACATACTACTAATCACAAGCGACTGGTATAAAATGTTTACTGAGGCCCTAACCAGAGGAAGGCAAAATCTGCCCTGACAATTGCAGAGGATACAAGACTTGCATGTGTGCAGGCACTATTCTCTGTGGCCTCACATTTCACTTCTGGGCAGGGCCTAGCTGCCTTCACCCCCAGCACCAAGCCTTCCACAGCACACACCCCACTCATGGCCCCTTTCAGCTCATTGGCTTCAACCTAGTGGCAACATAAGGAAACTGCAGGCTTCAACAGTGGGATGTACCTTGAGGGCGAGAGATCTCTGAACTTATTCTGCAGGTCATGCACGTCACTGAAAAGTTCCATGTTCAAATTGTGCTCCTTTTGCAGCTCACATTCCTGGTCTACCAGCTGTTGCTCAAGGCTCTCCAGCATCCTGCCATCAGCCATCTCTGGGTCCGGCGGATGGAGGATTTGCATGTGTTTCACATAACGTACGTGGTGCAAACTTGAAAAGGTCATTTCTTCTTCATCAGTATGAGCCTTGGCCTTGTTGGAGCCATCCTGAGCCCCTTCTGTCCCACACAAAACTGTGATAATGGCCTCACTGCACTGGGAATGCTTCTGAAGCTGAAATATGAAATTCCGGTAGCCCTCGAGCTCAGTTTCCAAGTCATAGATTTTCTGTTTCAAGTTTTCTGTATCATTTGAGGTATCGATGTTCTTACACTGATCGGTTCCAATCACACTGATTTCAGTGGAAAGCTGACTCTTGGAATTCAGGTAAGTAGCTACTGAAGTTGGGCTCTGAAAATCTTCAGAAGGATTCTCTTTGCATGTTGGCAAGATGGCAAGGTCATTGGGTTGGTCAATTTCAGAGTCTGAAAATCAAGCACGTTTATGTCAATGGATCTCCTGTGCTGAAATCCATCCCCTCTGTCCTTCCTCGCAGCACTGCTAAGCTGAGACCACTGCAAGGGCCTCCTAACAAGCCCCCTGGCTGCAGTCTTCCCTCTTACTTCTCAATCCAACCTCTTCCTCAGAGCAACTGTTCTAAAAAGTGAATTTAACCATGGGAATCGCCCTCCTGCCAACAAATACTGAGACGAACACCAAGATACAACATGGAAATAAAAACACTGGGGAGGCAAAATGCAATTTATGAGATAATATTAATCTATTGAGCTGCCATAACAGGGCATAAAAAGCATAAATACACTGCAGCTTGTCTGAAATGGTCTAAGTCCGGGCTCTCAAATAACTATGAGAAAATGATTTCCATAAACTCATGCCCACCTTTCCCAACAGAGAGGCCCCAGGATCTTCTGGGAAACTCTGGAAGGAAGTAGCACATGGTTGAGGCACCCTGGGGTCTCAACAAGAAATAAAAACATTGGTAAGTGCAAATGGCAAGCCCTGGACAAAGTGCCAGGCCTATGTTTGGCTGAGTCAGCTTTGCCATAAAATCTTTCCTCTCTGAAGTGCACCCTCCTCCCGACCCACGACCCATGTTAATTTAATTATCTGCGCCCATCCCATGAGACCTGGAGTTCTCGGAAGGCAGAGACGGTCTCTCATTCCTCTCTCTCCTTACCCACTGCATGAGGCCGGGACACAGCAAATGCTCAGGGACATCCACTGAACCAGTGAATAGATGCCTGCATGGGTAGATGGATGGATTAAGAGAAGGGAAGGAAGGAGGAAGGGAGGGAGAGAGGAGTAATCCTGCCAAAGGCCAACTTATCTTGAAACCGCAACTATGGTAAATCCAAGATAGAACCTAAATTTATATGGAAAATACCTCTGGCTACAGAGCATTCTAAAAATCCACAGACGAAGCCAGAAAAAAAGTCCAGGTTCAAGTCATCACGTCTGGGGCACCGCAGGCAATCCCAAGTGAGGGGAGCAGTGACCTCGCAAGACCTGTGAGCACCACAAGTCCCTGTATCCAGACTCAGAATAAAGTGAAAACAATAGATTCATTTTCCTTATTGTGTTCCCTCAATTGTGTATTTGTCAAGAGTCAAGATTAATCACTGCAATTCATGAAATTTATACTCGAACTTATTGCAATTCTAAACAACAAGGCTGACATTTCCAGCAGTTCAATCGGGTCGTTCATCTAGCTTGCGGAGAAGACATTTTTCTAGGTGCTTACCTTTCTGTAGCGTTTTGTCTGGCGCTGGGCTCCCCTCCATCATTGCTTCAGCCAGAATTAACTTTTGGTGAAGTTGCTTGTTGCGAATTTTAAACTCCTTCAGCTCCCCCTGCAGCTCCAAGATCTGGGCCTGCAGCTGGGCCACCACCTCCTGCGTGGCTGGGAGCCGATACACACTTCCTAGTGACTGGGATGGTTTTATCAGGATGGGCAAACGGGACTTCCTAGCATCCTGAAAACAGACACAGAGACACAGTGAATATACTTCCTGTGGTCGCATAATCAACAGTCTCATGGCCAATCTTATAAATCTGAATTCAAACCGCTATCCAGACTTCTGGTTCCTATACTGGCATCTGTGTTTGCCTCCCAGCCTGAAGAGCTTGTATCTTGGCAAGTCCCTCCTCTGACCAGCAAGTGCCAAGCTATTCCTGCTCGACACCCTCTTGGCCCTGACCCACTGACCCTCTCTAGACATTCCAGATGTTCAATATATGGCAGTCCTTTTGCAACACAATCTTCTGAGAAACATTTTCTTCCTCCTGGCCTATTTCCTCACTTCCACCCATTCCTCAATCTAGGCCAATCTGCCTCCTACCCCTGCCAGTCCACTAGCACCACCTCTTACTACAGTTTTCAGTGGCTACTGAGTCACTAATCCAATAAATATTTCCCAGGCTCAAAGCTCGGGACCTGCCTATCCTAGACATCTTCATTTTCAATGGCTCACGGACACTCCAAAGTCAACTGAGAACTCAACTCTTCAATACCATCATCCCATGTCCCCAAAGCTACACCACTTAAAAAGTCTCTGTCCTGGTGAATCACACCAACATCCACTTACAGCACAACCCAAAACCTGGGCGTCCTTTTTAAACTTCCCTTTACATTCATCACACACTTTCATCACTCACCAGGTTCCATTAATTCCACCTCCCAAGTTGTCTCTGAATTCTTTCCACTCCCTTCATCCTCCACTACCACCATTCAACTCCAGGACGCCCTCACAAGGCCACTGCCACAGCCTTCTGAGTGGTCCTCCCAACACTCACTCCTGCCCTTTCTAATCCACTCGCCATGCTGCAACAGAAAAGGCAAACTACCATCCCTCTCCTCTGCTTAAACTATTTTACTGCTTCCCAGTTCCCTTATGACAAAGGTCAAAGTCCTGACCACAGCTCACACTGAGCATGACCTGCAGCCTGAGTTCCTCCCTTTCTCCCACTTCCTCACTGCCAAATACTCACCCTCTAACAGTTCTTCCAAATCATAGGCTCTTTCCACTCAGAGCTTGGTGTACGCTGTCTCCTCTGCCTAGAACTCATTCTTGCCCATCCCCACTTCACCCACTAATCCCAATATGTTCATTAGGACTCCGCTCAAATGTGCCTTGCTCAGGAGAATGAGCTTTGATTTCCAAGACCAGGTCAGATCTCCCGGTCTTACACTCACTGCCGCCTATGATTCTTCTGAGAGAACATTAGTACCATTATAATTAAACTAGAGGCCCGACG